CTTTAGAATTAAACATACTAAACTCAGCTGCTTGCTCTAACCCAGTGTGATCATTTTATGTTGCAAAATCAATCTCCAGCAACAGCTAAAACATATGGGGAAAAGCATGAACAAGGCATGTAGAACTGGTGCTTGTGCTACACACTAGCAGCTCTCAGCATTTCACTGGGAAATCCTGAGCCAAAATCCTATCTAGATCTCCTTAATATTTACCAATGAAACTGTACTTCACAAAGGTGCTGTATCCTTTTCCCCCCACTCACAATTAAGGCCTCCACAGTATCTCATGCTCTACAGCACAAGTTCTACAATTTCCTTCTCCACTTGGGGGGGGGAAAAAAAAAATCCCAAACCCAAAAAAACCTCGTTCATGTTAAACTCTGCTCTGTGACCACTTTACATATTAGAAACAAAAATAGTTGCTTTCTATTAAGCTTTGGTGCTAATTGTGTGTTCTAGTCTATCAGCTGCCTTTTTTCCCCACCCAAGCTGCAGAAATTCTGGCTTACTTCAGTTTTCTTCAAATGGCCACCGTTCTGTACCTTTGACCACAGGGTATGCTTTACAAGCTTGGGTAGCATTCAAGCTATGGGTGCACCATGGGTGCACTACAGCAGCCTTGGGAATTTCTTAATTCCCTTTTTTCACAATCCCACCAGTACTGAGATGATATTTGCAGATTCACAATGACTCTCAAATGAAGCAGTAACAGCCTGTTGTGGTATATGCCCTGTTCACTCAGCTTCACGATTTTACCATCATTTTGCATTCATCAACCCTGACTTTCATCTGAATTTACTGCCTCAATACCTATGGCGAGATCTCGTTCTTATTTGAGAGGTCTATAGCACAATGTCCTGTGTCTGAGCTAGACATCTTAATGCCTCTTATACCCATAATGTCTGTCAGAGGGCATTCAAGATAGGAGAGATGACTCACACCACTAAAATATATACGTCTCTCCAGCTACTCTCTAAAGTGAATCTTAAGAATCAGTTCAGATATAAGATTCACAATGTCAGAAAAATCCCAGATTTGTATTTTGAAATTCTACAATTTATAGTGACCTCTATTTTTGACAGTCCTGAATAATTACATAACAATAACAAATTGTCAGGTTATAAAGTATCCCTTCCTCCACATGGTTTATGAATGTGTTGAACAGAAGAGATTCCCGATGAATCCACTGGTAACCTCCTTTTATAATAAAAAAATAACCATTTACTCCTTCCCTCTGGTTTCTTTTTAAAGATTGCCATTACACTTGCCATCTTCTGTTCCTCAGGATGAATAAAGATTACACTCAGCAGTTCATAGTTCAGCACATCACACCTGGCTTCTTTCAGAACACTTAAGCGAGGACCATTTGGTTTTAGTAATTTGTTATTATTCATCTCAAATTCATTTTCAATTTAAAATAATGGATTTCTATAAATTTGAGTTAGAATTCATTGTACTGACACTTAACTTGAGAGAGTTTTCCACTTACTCCCTGTAAATAAGGGCTCATGCAAAAGAATCGCTCTGACCTCATTTATAGAGGATATTAATACAAATAGTTCATTACTTCTTCTGGCATGCACTTATCTTTCCTCAATGCCCTAGTTATACCTTGATCAGGTTTTTTCAACACCACATTCCTGCAGGCTTCTTGCTTCCAATGAGTTTAACTCCTAGTTTGCTTTTAGCCAACTCAAAATAATTGCTTAAAGTAATTCCCTCAAGATAATTTTTCAATCTTTCTTATCAAAGCTTACTTCTAAGCCTACTAGGCTCACGTTCTTTTCCATTCTCCTTACTTGGACATAACAAATACCTTTTAAATAATGGTTGGGTTCTGGATTTTATTTTTATCTTAATCTCCAGAAGCTCTTTATTATTCTGTTCACCCACCCTTGGATTCATTTTTAAATAAAAACAATTAAATAAAGTTTTATCCCATTTTGGGAGGGTGTTCACTCCCTTAGAATGTTTTCACCAGTGGCATACATGTGCAATTAGCACTGAGTACTAGAGGGTCCTCATAACCTGCAAGCATTTTCTTTTTACATACTCATTTTAAACTCCTACTAAATAGACTCCACATTTCTTCATAATTGCCTTTTAATAGAAGTTAAACACTATATTGCATTTTCATCTACTATATGGATGCAGAAGTCCAGTTGCCAAAGTCCACCCTCTTTTGTACAGCATCTTTATTTTGAAAACAGCTACCACCGAGCCAGGCCATTTCTGCACCATTCCTAAATGGATCACATTTCACTACTGTCCCAGAAATCCTTATGGTGCAAGTAACTAAAATCTTTGAGGAACTGGCTGCAGGTATAAGAATGCTAACCAAAGATGTTATGCATACAGGATGTGCTTTTCTGTTTTCTTCAAATTCAATAATTATAGCTCATGCCTTTTAGCAATAGGTACAGATAATAGAATGGGAGATGAGGAGCCACAGAAAGGAAGTAACAAGGGATATTCAGTCCAATCCCCAATTAACTTAACTATCCATAAACCAAAGCAGAGAGAAATACCAGGTAAGGAGGTACCACAAAAACTTCCGAATTGCTAAAGGCCAGGAAAGTACCTAAAGGCTGCATCATTGGAAATGTGACCTGTTCTTACACTCTTTCTCCCAAGCAGTCACTACTGGCCACAGAATACTGGGCTGTGTGGCGCTCTCATATAACTGCACTTGCCTTAAGTGTCTGAGTTATCAAGAACTTGGAAAATTCACAACATTTCAAAACTGAATAGAAAAAAAGAACAGGACAAAAAAAAAACACAAAGAAAAATTATCGGAATTTTCCCTTTGAAGATTTACAAAAGTAAATAATATAGGAATCTTTGATGTCGCTTCAAGTTTGCTAGTCTTCCTTGCATTAATAATTACTTAATATAATGTCAAAAATACAAAAACTAAACCAAGGACAACTGAACATGCTCTAAGAGTCAAGCATTATTTCCAGTTTGAAGTGAAGAAACTTGGAATCAGTAAGTATATGAATACACAAAGAATACTTTTCACAAAGTTTAGAAATTTCAGGGGCAAGCCAAGTACATTACTGTATAAATGCACACATATTTCTCAGAAAAGTCTGAATGTCCTTTCATTTGAGTTTAGAAAAATCCAAGAAAAAAAAAAAATCTCTTTTTGAAAGCACTTTCCACCATGTCTTCACAGGGGCAGTGCAAACATTTGCTATTACCAAACTCAGGAAGCTCAAATTAGCCTTGTTTTATTTTCACATCTCTGAAAAGAATCAGAGCACAAAAAGCAATCCTCTAAACTGTTCAGTGGTAGCAGTCACACGAAAACATCAGACTAAACACAGGACAAATCGAGCACATTAATAATAATTTCAGAAAGACATGTTAATATTGATTTACAAACTCACCTTTGATGCCCAGATTTGAGTTAAAGATTTTTTTTAAATTCCATTTCACTTATGTTTTAATATAGACATGCATACGCACACACCCCAACCACCATTCTTCACAAAAGTTACCTCTTCTAAATAAAATGCAACACTTAATGGAGACAAGACAATACAAGATGAATAAGGTCCTTGAGAAAATGGCAACCATTTCTCTTTGTTATGCTTATCATCATATGATGTGGACAGTACAAAGTTTTATTGTGTCCTTACATTTTCATTTACTTGTAAATGTTTGCATGACAGATATGCTAGTTAATTATAATTAATAGTTTGCACCTTTACACAAGTTTTGAAGCAATCTTTTATGTGTTTGGGTTTGGGTTTTTTTTTTGTTTTTTGGAAGGGAAGTTAAAGAAGGAAAACAAATACTGGCAACAAGATATGTTTATTTAACTGGACCCCAAGGCCATCATTTTTTTGAGTATGCCAGTGGGAGAGAAGAGAACTTCTACCAGAAGCAGCTGAATGAGAAGATGCATAAAACACACGACTTTCTAAAGTTCTGATAATCTCTCCAGAAGAACTTCCTGCCAGATGGTTTATAGCATCAGGTTAAGTATTTTCTACTGGGCACTATTATGGCTTTTCTGATTCTTTCAAGTATCATGGGAAGAAGGAGAATTTTAAAAAGAAAAGAGAAAAACAACCAACCAAAACCCACTCTCCAGGATCTTGCCTGCCTTCTAGAAAAATGGAAAAACAAATTTTGTCTGTGTTGATACTAATTCCATGCTAACAAGCTTTTTGAAAACCTGCTCGGTGCATAAATACTGGAACGCTAACCTAGTAAAAATTGAAGCACACTAGAGAAACTGTATGCCATAGCTATTGGAAATCATCTCTGTCAAACACTTCCATATCAAGCACAGAAAGTATCCTTTATTATTCAGTTTGGATGACAGAAATTAATCATTCCGTTTGCACTGCAGTATCTGTCTGGAGCTGGCCGCTCTTTTAAGTGGATTCACATTAAGTTATAATTTTATATATATATACACACACATATATCTCCAAATATGTGTGTGTATATATCCATAATGTGTATGTATATATACATATTACAGACCCATAATGTATAAATCTGTGTGGCCTATGAGCATAAATTATCTCATTATCCAGGACATCCTGGTGGAATTTCAGGTAGTTTGCTTCAAATCTCATTGATTCTTGTAACTCCTAGATGGAAGAGACATTCTAAACACTAAGAAAATGCTGCTTTTATTCGTCACTAATTTGGGGAAGACCTGCTTTGATGGGCATAAGTAACATCAATGTACAACGCGCTCTCAAAGTGTTCACCTCAAAAGCGTCAAATTCTATAGGCAGAGGAACAGCACAATCACCTCTATGAAGCAACTGAACACACCACATTTCCTGCATGCATGCAGGTTTCCATCACTTTGATAACATCTACCAGGACCATCTTACAACAGACTTGATTGTTATTCAAGACAAACAGAATTCTCAACCAAAAGCAACATACCTAGAGGACTGAGGCCTCATGTCCTCCCTGATATTTCTAATAATAAAATGCTTAATTAAGAAGCCATACACGTGACACCTTACCTTTGATGCCATACGCATGAACAGTGAGTTTTGATCCTCTGCTGTTCTCATCTTCTCATTTTTGACCAAATCCTTCAGGTTCATACTATCATCATCCTGGAAATACCTTACTCTTTCTTTATCTATATGAGTAGGGACCTGGAAACAAACATATTGAAAATAAATATTAACCTAGTGAGAAAGATCAACTATAAAATTCAGCTTCTAATAGTTTCAACAAGTTTAAAGAATCATGAATCAAGCTAAGCACATCTGAAACAATTCAGCTTGCTGCTTCGTTTGACCTAAGGAAACGAACATCCTCCCCTTCAACTGCATCAGTAGGTCTAAATACAAGTATAGCTCCTTCCCACAATCACTATATCCTTTATATCCTTAAGCTATCAGAGCTATAACATTATCACTCAGGAAAGATGTATAGTAATTCACTGACACAGTTAATCAGCTCACAAAAATGGAATATTCCAAAAAGTAATCTTCATTATTTACACTGAATTGTCAAGTCACAGACACTACTGAAACACAGTAATCACAGACACTACTGAAAACTCGTACAAATGTGGTACCTCTGCTGGGAAATATTGCCAAGTTAGACAGAGTGCACAAGAGAACAGAGTTTGTCCTTTAGGGCAGGACTAAACTAAATCCTGAAGGAGCATAGGGAATGGACATTAACATAAAGCAGAGATGGCATTTTCCAAAATGGAAACAACAGGAAGATGACAACCAATTCCTCACCCCCTTGTGCCTTTCACTCCTCCATAGCAATGTTACAAACTGAGCTGTTCTACTAATCAAGAACATACTTTCTAGAAATATGAGGTATTGCCATCCCCTCTTATCCCAAGACGATCAAAATATTAGTTTATATACTGTTGCAGGCAAATACCCTAAGAATAAAACACTGCTCCAGCCTCCAAGCTTCTCACTGTTCTCCAAAGCACTTTGTTACAAAGATTAGGTCATAATTTTTATTATCAGCAGTAGCAGTACTTTTGATCAGGAGAAGAAAAAAGGAAAATTAGCCTCTGAGACCTGAGTATCTCAGTAGAATCTTTCTTATTTTGGAAATATTCACCTCTGCTAATCTTCATTATTTATATAACTTTATGTAATATAAACTACTTGGCTAAGAGACTGGTAATTTGAAAAACTTACTTTTCCTTGAATGTGCATTTAAATAAGCCCTGAAGTGATCCCTAGGGAAACACAGACTGAAAATAAACTTAATATATGCTTAATAAATAGGTACTCTAACACTTAATTACAATCATCTTCTGAAAGGAACTTTTTAACTACTTATTGACATTCTGATAAGGCATTCATATTAATTATAGCATCATAAAACTACAAAAATAATTTCAGAATTACACTTTAACACTCACATTTGTAAAACTTACCATCTGCCATTTTCTTCGTCCTCCTTTTGGCTCCTGTGGTTCAGTTGGCGCGGTCACAGGCCATGCCCTTCCACTTCGATCTGTTCTGACAAGGACCACTTGTTCATCTTCTTGATGGCTTGAAGCCTGTGTCAGATTTTAAGATATATTTTAAAGCAGATGATACAGACAAAACCAAAAGAAACACCCAATCCACACTAAATAGATGTTTAAAATCCTGAAGATTAAATAACAGATTCTTTACATTTTGTGTGTTCATTATAATTCCAAGCAGACAGTATTACCTTACACAAAGTATTCTTTTCTGCACTCAGAAAGAACAGAATATTAAAAATATATTCAGCTAGTTAAGTGCAGAGTTAACAAATCCTTTACACAAAGAACCAAGTTTGTATTCTTGGTTCTTTCTCATAAAGCTTCATCCCCAGAAGAAATACAATGCTTCTGAAGACTTAAATAGATAATATTGAATTAACATACACCACCACCATTACAATGGTGTATTCCTGAAAACCATCTGAAAAGCCGCAGCACGTTACCACTTCTAGGCTTTTTGTGGATTGGGGGTGTTGGGGGATTTCTTGTGTTTGTTCAGTGTATTTTTTCCTTTCAAAACTTGGCTAACAAACTAGCCAAAACATTAGCTATTGCTTTTCAACACATTCCATTGGATCAGACTTTTCTTTTCCACACTTCACCTACCACCAGTACAGATCACTTCTGTCACAATGTAATACTGAAATGTTTTTAATCTTGATTCTAGGATATGCAGAACAGGAGATACAAACAGCTCAACACAAGTATCTCTCTCTATGGTGACGAAACAGGAGATGATGTACATTCATTATTTAGGTAAAATTAAATTATAGACTGAGGCAGAAATTATGGTGTTTAAATCATCTGTTTGTGTGCTGAAATATACGGAAACAAAAACAAGCGTTTACCTTACATATGCCAAATAAGTCATTTGCCTTTGGATGGCAAACACATTCAGTCTCACATAAACTACACTTGTACTTAACTACTGCTTCTACATACCAAAAGAAATTTAGGAATCATGAGGAGGATATAATCCAAACCTGACTAAAACAAGCTCTTGAGGTGTTGGAGATACGAGGTAAGAAGCACACAACGGACAGGGCAACAAGGGAAGCTTTCACACACTTACCGCTGGTCCTCATGGTGGGATAGAACCACCAGTTCATCTGCTGGAAGAGCAACACATTAGGGCACAAGCAATCCAGACTACGAATGCATTGAGGACAAGTAGTGACACAAATGCTGAACAAACTGACTAGGAGTGTTGCTCTACTGAATTTTCTAGTCATCAATTTAAAAAAACAAAACAAAACAAAAAACAAAACAAAACCAAAAAACAGTCTAATCAGGGACACGGAAGTCAGCAGCTGCCTTGGCTGCAGCAACCACGAGATACTGGAGCTTAAGATCCTAAGAGAAGTAAGGAAAGCAAGTAACAGAACAAACAAAAACCCTGGATTGTAGGAAAATGGACTTGCTTTATTCAGGGATCTGCTTGGCTGGATCTCATGGTTAGATGGTCATGAACGACAAAGGTACCCAGGAGAGCTGGTTGATCTTCAAGAACAACCTCCACAGAGGATGAGATGGATCCATTTGCTCTGCTATTTGGCTAAATGGGGAACTTCTAACAAAAACAAAAGGAAGCTTAGAGAAGGTGGAACCTGAGACAAGTTACCCAGGAGGAACACAGAAGCACTTTCCAGGCACCTAGGGATAGCATTAGGAAAACCACAGCTGAAGCTGAAACTATCAAGAGGTGCAAGGAACAGAAAGAAGGGATTTTATGACCAACCATACTGGATGTCCTTCTATAAGCCAGGATAACACAGGTCCACTGCTGAAAGAGAGGAAAGACCTAGTGACAAAGGACATGAAAGAGGCTAAGACACTCAATGCCTTGCCAGTCTTCACCAGCAAGGTCTACCCTTAGGCTTCTCAGGCCCCAGTGCCTAGCAGTAGAGTTTGGAGAAGTACTACCTGCAGGAAAGAAGGATCAACTTAAGGACCACTAAAGCAAACTGGAAATATGCTAGTTTATGGATCTAGAGGGGATGCACATACTGATTAAGCCGGACAAGAGGTCTCTCCCTATCACATCGGAAAAGGAGTGGTGATCAGTGGATATCCTTGGAAAAAGACAAATGTGTACAGTCACCTCCAAAAAGATGAAGAAACAACACCTGGGGAACAACAGGATGACCACCCTCACCTCAGTCCCCAGAAAAATTACAGAACAAGTCTCCATGGAAGCCCATTCCAAGCACAACAAACAGCAAGGTGACTGGGAACAGCCAACATGGGTTTGCAAATGTCAAATCATGCCTGATAAACCTGCCCTCTGCAGTGAGATGACTGACTCAGTGCACAAGGAAAGTACCAGGGATGTTGTTTACCTTGATGTTTGCAAGGTTTTCAATGCAGTCTCATAGTATTTTTGTTGCCAAACAGGAGGGATGTGCAGACTGCAAGATGGGTGGGAAATCGTCTGGATTACAAGGCTCAAAGACTAGTTGTCAATACTCAAAAGTCTAACTGGCACTCCTCATAGTTTAACTAGCACACTGTTACAGATGCCATTCCTCAGGGGTTGATAGAGGGATCAACACAACTTAACCTCGACACCCTGGACAATGGAACAGAATGAGCTCTCAGCAAGTTTGTTGAGACACCAAATAGGTGGGATGGTGACATGGCTGATTGACTTGAGGGCAGAGTTGCCATTCAGAGGGAGCTCAACAAACTGAAAGAATAGGCTGAGAGAAACCTCAAACAAATGCTAAGTCTTGCACCTGGGGACAAAATCATGCACTGGCAAATGTTGAAGACAGACTACGGGGCAACTCTGTTAAAAACAACAAACAAACAAACAAAAAACCCCAAAAAACCCCCACCTTGGGCCCCTTGATAGACAGCAAGTCAAAAACCAAGTTTGTGACCCAGCTAATCACATCCTGAACTGCATTCTCCATCTTGTGAATTATACAAAGTAGCAAGAATTCTAGAGGCCAAAATGCTACCTTTAATCATGCACATGCAATTTATTACACCAATTTACTACCCTTAGAAGAATTGCAAAAAAGTCATTTTCAACAGATCCCATAAACTAGTAAGATTACAGAGGGAAATGGGCAACTGAAACAAGCTTAAAGCATTCATTCTCACAAAACTGCTCTAGCTCTGGACAAAATACAGTAGAAAAACATTCTGAAATAACTCTTATTTTTTTAATGATATAAGTATGTAGCCTTGAAACATGGTTGAGTGAAATAAGCAGCTTTGCCAAATAATAAAGTTATGATTTCTCCCCTCCGTAAAACTAAACAGAAATTAACTTCTTGTAAATGTATTTTCAGATTAACATTCCTTGTACTACCAGCTAGAAGTTTTTCAGCAATTTTCTACTCTATATTTTAATATTAACATTGTTACAGATACAAAACAGTCTTTAAGCAGACTTCCTGTGTTCTTTATATAGAACATAACACAATTGCTTGTTTACAATGGATGTAGAGCTTTGCAAGTCTCCACATTGCCTTTGCTTTCCTTGTAATCAACAGGTATCAGCAAGAAATCTTTCATTCTTAGCAAAAACCAGTTTGCTTACTGTTATTATTGCAGTCAACAAGTTCTAACCTGTTCTTTAATAAGAGCTAAATGCATATCTTGCCAGCTATTTTACAATTACTATTACCTGACAAAGCATGGAGACCTTTTCATGACCTACGAGCCAAAAAAAAGATGACTGTATTTTCTTTTTTCTTTAATATGCTTATTATAACTGGTGTAAGAGTTCAAAACTTCTAAACAGGAGCTACCTGATCTAGAAATCAGTCAACTGAATCCTTTGTCTGACATACATACATCTTTTATTTAAACTGAATAAACACCAATAGGAAACTAAAGATAAACGGTGTCATTTTCCTTTCATTATCAGCGTTCTGAACACAATGGGATTTTTCCTTTTTTTTTGTAATACTGGAGCACCATGTCCCAGGACCCAAACTAATAGGAGACAAGACCCAGAATTAGTCCTCTGGTTTCAGGTTTTTTTAAACTTTCATTTCAAACTTGAAAGGCAGATCACTACTGAAGAGGTATCACAAGATCCATGTCACAACTTACATAGGGATGCTATCAAAAAAAAGTGCATGTCCATTCTGCATTATGCTCCTAATCTTTACTTCAGTTGAAGGGGGAAAATGAAAAAAACACCAACAAAAAACCCTGTTAGCTATGACTGACAGTTCTTCCGAGATTATTTGACAAAGAGGAAAAGCATAACAGCTGTGAACACACTGAATGCTGGATATCAGAAAGTAGTTCACAGAGCGGTCCTTACCGTTAGACATAGATACTTACATAGATAGAAGGTTAATATGAAAACTACTGGTAATGTTGATTTTTCTTTATCGGAACCCAAGAAGAATGCTGCCAGTTGCCTGGCTTCAGTTGAGTCTGTCAGCCAGTGACAGGTGAATGGATAGTAAAATCACTATCACTCGTATAAGCACAGAGGAGATCCCTCAATTTCCTTGTACAATAGGAACATTTTGCCAGATAGTGTGAATCCTTATTATATTGGGCATCTTCAGAACTGTAAGCCCAGAAGCAAACACCTGCCTCAAGGACTTACCTACAAGTGAGGTCATCTTAGTTTGGACAGAAAAGTGTAATCAAACCCTGAATTCCTAGTCTACCCTTCAGCACTTAAAATTTTATAGCCACCTAAGTTTTTCTCAGTGGAGTTCTAGAGTCATACTGAGCTATGCTTCCAAGCATGCCCAAAACTGCTCCCATTTTGCCAGAGACGGATAGCTTAACATCTATTTCATATCCGAATCCAATCAGAATGCCTGGACTAAGCATCCTTATCTCTAAGTTTTATCCCTGGTTGACTTAGTTCAAATCCAGTGCTCATTAACACTCTTGAGTTCATTAAAAAGGGCTGCAGCCACAGATTTAATTCAGAAAAATATAACCTTTTGTAAAAATATTCTGGAGGAACATCATTCATTCATTTAACTTCAATGCAGCTCAGGAAGATTACAAATCTATCTCCCACAACTTC